GCTTGCATTTGTATATTCAAATGAAATGAAGTGCCGCTTATGTAACGGTGGAATTAGAGTTAAAGGAATGATGAAATAAAAAATATATATTAAAATGAATTAAAATTTTAATTTCAACTTTATGAATCATATAAGTAAAAATAATAAATAAGAACAATAAAAAAAGAAAAAAAATTAAGCATATTTATCCATGAAATCTTCAAGATAAAATTTAGGCGCAAGATGATAAATATTATTAATTTTGAATGAATTCATGGGTGGAGGGAAGGGGGCAATTAAAAAATCACTTATTTAAGTTGGAAGTTTCAAAAAATAAATCAGAGTTTGAATGCCGATTTCAGCAAACTTACAGTCAAAATTGAACGTCTCAAAAATATGAACCCAACGACACCAAATTCGACTCAATATGAGCCCAAACAAGTCCAAATCAAAGACCCAAAGCTCACTTGAAAGTTTAATCCATAATTTGGATTACCAAACATGTTCCAAATATGACATGCTTAAAGTTGAATCGAGCGGCTCAACGAGACGAATCCAACGAGGCCAAGATTGTCAAATTTTGATATCATTAAGACATTCAAATGCCCAGTAAACAATCAATGATCATCGACAATCCATTCAATCTCGAGTAAATTTTAGTTGAAATTGTATTAAAATGATTGAATTTGAAACTAACTTAAATTAGCAGAAATGAAAATATTTTATAGAATCTCGAATAAATTTTAGCCATCGACCCAAACTGCATGCTTCGTTTTCCGCTTTGCTCCTCTCTCACGACTCGCGACTCACGATCTCGAGCATGACATTTGTTTTCCCTTTAGCTCCTCTCTCGTCCCCAAACGGAGATCATCCGTGGCAGATATTAATGTCTTCTATTCTCTAAAGATCATGTTATTTGCATTCTACATTTTGATCTTACCCCTCTTGGCTCCGGTAATGAGATAACAAGCAAAACTAATGAGATAACAAGCAAAACTATTTTAAAAAATCCCCCCCCCCCCCCCCCCAAATAAAATTTTTGGCTCTGCCACTGTGAATGATTAGTATCCATCTCTAAGATCTATTATTAGACTTAAAAAATAGAATAAATTAATTAATTTTTTTAAAGAAAATATTATTAATATTTATTCTTAAAAATGATTGATATTATTAAATTATAATTAGGCATTTAGATTTAAGGTGACGAAATTCTCAGGATTTCAGGGTAGCATAAAACATTAAGGGATTTGCTCCAAATTCAAAAGTGGCAAGCACCCCATTGAATCACTCCCTGATTCCAATAATGTATAAATTACAACTGTCAAGAAATATCAATCGAAATTCAAATTAATTCAATTGCTATTATGCATATGTCACTCGTATACTTAGATGGGCACACAATAATTCTTTGATTACAAAAAGGGCTATATGCCATCTATGTTGAGATAGGTAGTTTGGTAGATTCATCTATGGCTTATAGGTTTCAATCCCATGTTGACCATAAATATACCTAAGTTAGCCCATTTTACATTGATTGACTTTAGTGTCATCTAAGTAGATTGTAAACCTTGAATCTACATAGTTGGTCATATGATACTTAATAGTTTAGCTAGTGAATTTTTCGAGATGGTCTCAAATGATCCCAAGCTATCAAATGACTATCTCACCAAGCTATAGTAACCCCTTGGTTAATGCCTAGGAGTATTAGTAGCCCTAGCTTTAGTTTACCCTCAAGTGAGACTACGTGGATTAATAACTTGATCCTTAAATTATTCAATTGAGCAAAGATTGTCTTATGGATTCCCTTTTCCTTTATATAATAACCTTATACCAGTTGGCCTAAATGGTTTAGTTACCTTCTCTAATTGTTCTAATTTACTATAGGCTTATCAGTAGCTTCTATTAAGTGGCCTTAAATGATATTAAGGTTTCTTAGTAGCTAGGTTGGTTTTGGGCTAACTACTTGAGAACTTTGATATACTGTTCCAGCTCAGTGTGAAATATTACCATAATTGAATTCTTTCATTTTAGAATAGCATGACCTCTTTTACCGGTGGATTGTATCAATCCTTATGGTCATTTAAAATTGACAATCCCCTATTCATAGGAATCTAAAAGCCTGGGTGGGTTTGAGTCAAATTTCAAGTGTTGGACCCTCATTTCCTTAGCTAAAAGTCTTTAGATTTTGTAATGGATTACACTTACTAGTACCTTGTCACATATCCTAGTCCTTAAGAATTAGGATCTTGGACTTAGAGATGAGCTCTCTCATTTTCTTATTCTTTAAAATATACTCTTTAAAATATACTCTCTCTAGAACATATATTTTAGGTCACTTGTGATGAATTGGATATTCTCTTAGTGGGCTATGCTCATCACTCCTATGTTCTTTATAACATTTAATGGTGAAATTCTTAAGTTATAAAATAAATTAATAAATTTGTCAAGCCATTAATTATTAAAAGAAAAGCTAGCTCTTGTAAATGAATATAGATATTCTCTAATTAAATTTCTAACTTAAACATCACATATTTTATTAGATTAGTCACTATCACTAGCTTAACACATATTAGATATTGTGATAGACACATATATTGACAAACTAGGATTATTGTTTTGTTAGGATTGCTATTTTTTTTTTCTAGCAATTCTATATTTGTATACTCGCCTATGATGTTATAAGTGTTTATCAGGTAGTTGGGGGTAATTGTTGAGGAACTTGCCCTCAAGGGAGGCCCACCTAGATAACTCGCTTAACAATATGAGTGGAACCACTCACTTAGAGTGATCAACAAGAACTACTTGCCCTGATCTACTAAGGAGCTTGCCCTCTACAGAGCAAATCAGGGATTTCTAACCAAGCAATAAACTCGACACTTGCCATGCACTGGGACCATTACCTTAGTAACTCACCATGCCTTAAAGCGACCTTATGCTCTCTCTCTCTCTCTCTCTCTCTCTCTCTCTCTCTCTCTCTCTCTCTCTCTCCCTCCCTCTCTCTCTCTCTAGACCCAGCTACATGAAAGTAGACATCAAACTTGGAAGCTCTCTATTCCCATGACAACACCTCACTCACCTTTCTCTTCTCAGGTGTGATCCAAGATCTTTCGCACATATTGCTAGCAATATATGTAAGCTCACCAGTCGCCGGTCCTCTGTGATCTCAACACTCAATCGAGCACACTCGCCCTCATCCATTCGACATTATTGAGCTTACTAGAGGCAATATGTTGAAGCCTTATGACCCATTCTCTTTTAGCCAATCATAAGACAACACATGGTGAGCATAATATGTAGCATTGTACGAACATTATCTATAAGTTGCATGTTTTACTTTTTAATGAATAGCATTTTCTGCAACCTTTTAGAACTCTATAAATAAGAGGTGATGAGAATAGTTTTGGGGGATTTTTTTATTGCTTTTAGTGAATATTTTGTTAGTATGAGAATGATCTATAGCTTTCATGAGCATTCTGCAAAACTTTCCTTCGCTCTCTCAACTCTCTCCATTTTCATAGTTAAAGCTCTCCCGCTCATAAGTTCGGCTTGATAGTATGATATGGTATCTCTCACGTACAAATTTGAATCCAATCATATTGGCTTATAATTATGCGTGCAATGATAAATATATTTTCTCCTCAGAGGTGTTGATTGGATAGTACCCTTGAAAGTATTATTTGTTGCTTAACACTAAGGCTTCGTTTGGGATGGCTTTCTTTCTGCTTGATAAAGCTGCTATAAAGATAGTAACTTTTTAAAGCTGTTGTAGAAAGCAGCTTCCTAGTACAAAATTTTTTGAAAGCAATGAAAAAACAGTGGTCAAATAGAAATTGTAGTAGCTATCTGAAAAATAAAATAACAAAAAAATTGTCTCAAACAAAACTTAAGTTGTGTCATAAAACACTTGATCTTACTATACTAACAATCTATTTTGTAGGCTTTTTGTAAGCTTTTGATTTATCATGCTATTTTAGCTTTAAAAAGTCATGCAAAATATTGCACCAATAATTATTAAGGAGCTAATCACTACTTTAGAATTAGTAACCTTGCAATTATAATTATTAATATTAAATACCCTTCCCAATAAATTTTATTTGTTATACTTGACATCATTAAAGCTAAAACAACTAAACAAGAGTGAAAACAATTTCATAGCACCCCTTGGATGCTTTAAGTTAGAAATAGTGCTTTAAATTTTGATGAATTTACTAAATTTCATTATATTTTACATAATTAAAAATTAATATAAAATTTAAACTACACATGAATATTCAAATTCATTAATTTTTTTTTCAAATATAAAATAACTGAAAACTACATTCCAACTCTCAAATCATTTTTAAGTTTTTCAAGCCTCCAAATGAGGATTAATTATTTTGTGCGGAAGCCAAACACCGTTCAGAGACCAACCAAAATACGTCACATCACCCCTTCGTTCGGTACCGCGGCTCGTCAGACCACTGATGTGGCTGCACCTGATTCACCTCCGGACGTAGAGCTACATCCGGTCTTGGCACAGAATAATTTCTCCCAAATGAGCCTAAGATTACTTCATTAATTTGAAAAAACAAACCCGTTTTAACATTAAAAAAATTTAAAATCAATCATCTTTCCCCTCTTTGTTTGTTTTCTTTCCTTAATAATAGAAAACACACAGCCTAAGCTTTTAAAATATTTGTTTGCAACAATCCAAATAAAAACACAAGCAAAAAGAAGAAGACTCCTCACATGTCCTCTCAGCTAAGTTCAAATGCATTATTTCATGAATAAATGCTCCTCTGTGAGTTCAACCGATTCTTGGTGCTTGGTCTCAGAGAGTGGTTAAGAATACAATAAATGAGTGAAGAAGCTCTAATAATTCCAGGCCGTAGCACTGCAGCAGAGTCATCAATAACACTACAAAACAAAAGGGCCCATCAGTAGTAACAGTTCAGTTCAGAGCAATTTCCAAACATTCCACATGAGCTCATTCTCCAACCAGTCCAAAATCAACTCTTCATCTTTTAAAAAAACGAAAAGGGTGAAAGAAGTTGTATTTTTTTTTTTTCTGGAGAGAACTAAATTTCCTAATTATTTTCATCAAATCAGAACATAAATGCCGAAACTGGCAAGCTGCAACTGTAATATCTATCTTACAGCAATTTATATCAAACTGAAAGCAATGCTACTTTTACATAGAGCAAAGCAATCACAGCATTAGCATATATGGTTATACCTGTTACAGCTAAGGCTTCGTTTGGGGCGGGGTTTTTACTGCTTCTTAAAGCAGTTTTTGAGTAAAAAAAATTTAACTTTTGTACTAAAACGTTGTTTTAAGAAGCAGTAAGAAAGCCGTCCCAAACGAAGCCTAAATCTCTATCAATTGCTCAAACAAAAAACACTATAAATAGTGGTTGTTATCTAATTCCTTCTTGTAGATAGTACAGATAATGAAATCTTCTCAGCTTTATTTTCTGGCAGCCTTCTGCTTCTTTAGGTCTCCCTTGAATGATGAGGAGGATGAAGAAGAGGATGAGAAACCGGAACGCCCGCCGCTTTCAGCCTTATCTTTGCTGAAAGCCTTGCGAACGTCGTCCTTGAGCTCGCAAAATCGCATTCTCTTGATCCTTTGCTCATCTGGTGTGCCCTTCTGGAGGTAAAACAGGTCAGGCAAGTCATCCTCCATGAATTTATCAAGCACTTCTGAGCAGTGTGGAAAGTAGCGGCGACCCAGCTCGACTAACAGTTGTCACATTAGAAAAATCAATGAAGAGATTATTAAAGTTCAAAGCTTCAATTATAGAAAAGATGAGATGCAGTTGCATAGGTAAGATGGACAGTAAATGGAAAAGAATCCAAGAAGATTTCCTCAAAATGTCGCATGAACTCAAAAAAGGATGACGCAGTAGCTGACGAATGGAAAGGATTCATTTATAGTCACCTTATCAGGAATAGGTGTGGAATAAACATCACATGAAAACGATATTCAGTAAAAAAAAATATTTAATAATTTGTGGAAGAAAAGTCTATGTATGGCATCATAGTGGTCCATCATTGTGAAGATAACTGTTAGGGGATGACAAATGGCATGTCTATGGTGGTACATGCTATTCATCTAATGAGATTTTTTTTTTTTTTGTGCTATGAGTTGAGCATCATACCAATAAGCTAACTATTAAACGAAAGTAAGAGGTAATATACAGAAAGTTTGGCATGAAAGCTGAAGAAATGGGCAAATTATTAGGTGCGGACGTCGGACAGAGAGAATCATCCAGATTTTTCTCTGTCTACAATAAAAGCACAGTCAAAGCGCAGTTGCTACAGTACATGCGCTTTGACTGCGCTTTTACTGTAGACAGAGAGAAATCCGGATGATTCTATCTGTCCAGTGTCCGAACCTAATAATTTCTCGAAGAAATGAGAAAAAATAATAAAGAAGAAAAAAAGAGAGAGGAAACAATGGGTCATTTCAAGAAAAAAACATTATACCTGTCTTCATGAGGGCTTCTACCCTAGAGTGAAGCCTTTTATTTTGAGTGCTAGGTGTTTCATTAAGATCGACCTCCCTCAAGTTGCTAGCACTCCTTGATGCAGAAAGCCCAGCAAATTCTGTGGTTGCTTCAGCTTGTGCAATTTCCATGGCTAGTTTTGCTTCAGAAGGGAAGAACAATCTTGCAAAAGCAACTGCACTTGTAGAAAGAAAAAATAACTCACCCAGATAAAATAAACCATGCAAGAAGGGGAAAATACCCTTGGATGTGCTGACAAGCTAACAAATCATGTTTTTCATGCAGGCATTACAACAACTAAGAAAATAAAATGGAATTAGGACATTATTTCTTCAAAAAAAGAAAATTAAAACTGTATTGTTTTAAAACTCTTAAAATACAGAGAAAATTTCATAAATAATTACCAAAAACAACATCAAACTCTTCATTACAAAAGCTTTTTATATAAGAAGTGGCTCACCCAGATCTTTCATAAACTCGCTATAATCATATATGTTATATAAAGAAATATAATAGAATTAGATGAAGTGAAACAGACCTCTATTTTCCAGATACAGCAGCTTCATGTGCAGGTCACCAGCCAACAATGGCGATGCCACTGCCTTATCCCCAGCCAAGGGATTCCTTCTAATCTCCCTCTCCAGAATGTCAATGCACAACCTGTCTTTATTCGACTCCTGACCCTGTTCTGTTTTTGCATAATAATCTTTTGCCCGTGTCAATCTTCTACATATACTAACAGCACTCTGGCCATCCGTCGTTGTTTCTGAAGCAGAGGCGCCCTTGGTTAGAAGGGACACAATGACCGCCGGTTCTCGACGCATAGCGGCAATATGAAGAGGAGTATAGCCTCTGTCATTCTTTAGATTAACATTGGCCAATCCCATATCCAAAATTTCTGCAACAACTTTGGAATCACAGTATGCTGCTGCATAATGGAGAGCAAAAGCATCATCTAAGGTGATGCCAGATTCAGTTAGGAGCAACTTTACAAGTTCCACGTCATCTGAATCCAGAGCCCTATGGATTCTTCTAATTCTTTTCTCATAAATGGGGTCCAGTTTTGAAGGATCGTAGTCATTTGGCTGAGTGCTGCTCCGTATCAATTTAATCTCATCAACAATTTCCATTGGAATTTCCTTTTCAAGAGTAACGTTGTCAAGATCAGACCTTGCGATTCTCTGGACACAGTGACTCTGCAATTGACTGAGCTTTGAGCAGAAAGCCACTAGGAGTATTGAGATTACATCTTCCACAAGAGCTTTGTCAACAAAGTTGAGAAGGCGCCGCTAGAAACAACATCAAAAGTAAAAAAATCAGAATCGTAGTATGAATCCCTTAGGAAATGGTATTTTGAAAAAAAAAAAACATTCAATATAAGTTTACACTCCAGATTCCATGGGAGAACTTGACTAAATTATTGCCGGCACAAATTTAATTCAACAGAAGAAAATTTTCACAAAACAACCCCTCCCCCTTTCAAAACAAAAAACTTTTTTTTTCTAAGGAAAAAAAATATGGACGCCAAAAAGTACTATAAATTTCTCAAAACTAATTATTTGATATTTTTTAGAGGCTCCGCCCCAAACCCCTGAGAGGAGACTCCAAACTAATCTACAAACCCCTACAACAACCTTACTGTGAAAGCTAACCCACAACCATCATCATCATCACTCATTTCTATTATGTTTTATTTAATTGCATCATTTCTCAATCAAACATTCTTAGTTTTATCACACATTCATAGCAATAACGATATTTCTGCCACATTTTACTTGGTTTTCACAAACTAATTTCTAGCTCTACAGTCTTATTCATATCACATAGCAAATTTAATTGAAATTTAAAAATATCATCCTTTAGTGCCCATGATATTAACCTTGCACATAGTCTCCCAACGCATTTCTTTAACTCAACTACCAGCACTACAATGGAAAAAACAAAACCAGGAAAAAGAAAAAAGGTAGAGTTCAAGCGCAAATAAAAACAAAAAGTTTCATGTAAAATTCATGCCAAAATGTCCAATTATTTCCTACGACAGCTCTTTAAACTTAGGTTTCGTTTGGGACAGCTTCTTTATTGCTTTCAAAAACGATTTTTTAGTACAAAATTTTCTAATTTCAAGAAATTTTTGTACTTAAAAGTTATTTTAAAAAGCAACAAGAAAGCTGTCCTAAACGACGCCTTAATCATATTCAAAAGCCTGAAAATTGCATAATGAATGAGGATAAATATCTAAATGCGCACAGAGAAGGGTTATACAAATAACTACTACCTTCATTACAACACTTCGATCATTTCCTTGCTACAGTTCACAAAACAATCTAAAAAAATACAAAAATCAAAATTTTCAGTTTCAGACTGTTTTTTTTTTTTGTTTTTAAAGCTTGCTCTTACATCAAATGTAATGACTATAAAACAATTAAAATGCATAACTTTCAAAATTTATACAAAAAATATAGACATTTTGCACAATAAAATCATTTTTATTTGTATATGCTGCATTTACAAACTACTATCTTGATAATGCCGTGCTCTTTGAGCACACCTACAGAACCCAAATCTAAAATAACAGCAGAGAGTCAAAAAACAACTAAGCATTAATCTAACCATTCATAAACAGAAATAAAAAACCAAAAGCAAAGAAAACAAAGCCAGGTAACAATTAAATTAAAAAAAACCGATATCAGGATTCAGTTTTCAAGCTTAGATGAGGATTTCCTAAGTTAAATTTTTGGCATTTTGCTCAAGATGGAAGATATTTCTTCTTAAATTGCAAAATGTTTTTAGGTCAAACGACAAGATATAAGAAAACACTCAGAACAGTTATAGATAGTCTAGTTTTTATAATATAAAACATAAACTTGCGAAATTAAAAGAATTATCTTACTGTTAAAGAATAAGTGCCTCATCACTATTATCAGCTAAACTTAACAAAGGACAGCTTTCCTCTTAGAAAGCATTCAAAAACAACTTTTTTTTGGTTCTCTAAATGAATCCAACCTGGAAAAGGGAAACCAGCTCCGAAATCTGGAACGCCGACGAAGCATACATTAGCTCAACCACAAAATTCACCGCTGGCCAGCACGCGTCGTGCGCGCACATCGCATCCACGCAGGTCGACGCCTCAGGAGGCGCCGCCTTCAACTTGCCAGTATACAAATAGCTCAAGAAAACCATGAAAGCCTCCTTCCCGACCCGCCCGCTCGGCACCAAATCACTCATTTCATATCTAGGTTTCCCAACCTCCCCCTTCTTCTCTCCCGCCGCCGCAGTGTCTCGCGAGAAGAGTTCATGGAAGAACTTGCTCCTCGCCGCGAGGATACATCGATGGATGCCTATGGCAGTACCATCGATGATTATTTCGGCGTCGCTGCAATCGAAGTCCGATTCGATTAAAAGCCTCTCGAGGTTGCAGCTCAGTCTGCTTAGGCTGACTACTTCCAAGCTGTTTCCGACCTCCACCGTTGCTGCGCTGGATCCATTGGAAACGTAAGAGGAAGAAGTAAAGGTGAGTGAAGAGGATTGCTCCGTCAGATTAGCCATGGTATGGGATACCCGAGATCTAATTCCCCATCCGTGATTTTTCTGTCGAATCAGAGCTTGATCAGGAGCCCTAATTCACGTATCGTCCATCTCAGAAAGAACAGAGAAGAGATTGTCGAAGTAACAACCCCCATCAAAAATCGCAAGAAAAAGGTTACAGCTTTCGGCTTGGAGGACGAATGATGAGACGAAACGACCTGGAGCGAAGAATTGCTGATCCAGAGTGAAGTCAAGTCGAAGGAGAGAGAGGGAAAGAGGGGAACCTGCTTTGCTTTTCGCGGAAATTTGTGGTTAATTTTCTGGGAATTGCAGTTTCCGCGGCGGTGACCGGACCGTGGTGCGTGGCAGCTTGGGTTCTTCGCTTCAGAAGCTGAAGTCCATATGTGACGTTAGCGATGTCGTCGCCACCTCGTGGTAGGCCGCTGTGACGTGGCTTCTTTCGTCACGACCATCGCCGTTACCGCGATCCTTCGCATTCGGCTGGGTTCTTTTATTCGCACGGCAACAAAAGACCAGAACGTTGAACCGCTGATCTGGATTTCTCATCTTTTTTTCTTTTAATTCCGAAAAATAAAAATAATTATCTCAACAGCGATAATCGCCGCTCATTAAAAGAGCCCGCAAGGCACGCAATTGGATGAGAAATTATTACGTGCGAATCTAAATGGTAGAATTGTTCAGATTTTGTGAGGGAGATATATGACAAAAATTTGAAGGGAGATTTACATATATTTCATTTTATATTATTTTATTTACATATTTAACATTCAAAATTTTAATTTTAAACACATATCATCCTATATTATTTTAATATCAAATATGACACTCATATTTCAATCTTATTATTCATATATTTCATTTCTACTATTCATATTTGATATGAAAGTGAATTATAAGTGGTATGTAATTAATATTAAAGTTGTAGGTGTCATATGTAAATAGAGTAGCATAGAGTGTTATGTATGTAAAATTTTATATATTTGTTGTGTATTTATTGTATATCCTCACAGAATTCAAAAATTTCTCTCGTTCAGACTCCACACATAATAATCTCTCTAATTGTAGTCAGAGCCGTCCATTATGAAACCTGAGCTCAATCTTAATATGTCCACCGAAAATATTGTCCAATGTGATGCACTTCACCTTATATTAGGTTGTATATCATAGTTCTTCACTCTATTCAGACAAAATTCTGCATATTTGAGTATTCTAGGGTCACTAACTTATGCTTGATGCATCCTATATGAAGCTCTAATACTAATTATAATAATCATGACTATACTAAACAAGATATTATCTAATTTTACCCATTTATAACAAGCCCATCCTCATGATTTTTTTCATTTTCATGTAATTTCTCAAGAGTTCACCATCTCGAGTAATATTCAAATAATAAATATTTAATTATTTTGTCAGATGTAAATCAAATGCATGAAAATACATTTTTTTGTTAATATATTTTAAGTTAGTGATAGTGTCTTGAAAAATGGGGGTAGGGAGTAGACATTGCAGTGAGCAGGGGATACTAAGTGATAGGTGGCAGCAGGTGATGGTCCATAATGGTGATAGATAGCAATTGGGCTATTGCAATGGATGGGTGGCACATGATAACAACATTTGTGATAATGGCTCAGTCACTTGCGGTGTGTATATAGAATTGATAAACAATGATGGTAATTATGGGTGGCGATGACAAACAAGCGATACAATTGAAGATGGGTAGACAATGATAGAAACACGATGGTAACAAACATCAGACGATAGTAGGTATTGGTCAACAATGATGGGTGGTAACAAATAATGGGTTGTGGAGAGTGGATCCTATAGTGGTAGGTGGTGGCAACCAACAAAGGACAATTATAGTGCGTGGTGTTACGAAATTGAGAGGAGTTCTTGAGAGCTTCTTGAGCTTTTTGCAAGAGAGAGGGAGAAATATAAGGGATGATAGATTTTAGAGGTGGAAAACTAATCTAAAGCCATATTCATTTTCCTCAAATTATATATCAACCTATACATTCTATTTATAGGAATTTACATGAGTGTGATAGCATGCAGATTAACCTAATCTAAAACTGGACCAACACCTCACAGGCGGGAAAGGCAAGGTTGTGGGATATAAGTTTTCTCTATGTTTGAAATTCATTTGATTTTAGCAAATTCCAAATTTGTTAAACTTAAGTATTCTCCTATCATATTCTCATTTGGTTAAATACTTTGTATTTGGTTTGCTTCAAATAAGATGCCAAAAAAAATAAAACCCATGTTTTTTTTTTTTTAAATTAAACTTATAATATTGACGACAGCCGATACTATTAGTGTACAACCATCTGCATAAGTAATCATAATGGGATTTGAGTTGTAATATAAAAGAATATACTCTTATAACTTACATAGTGAATATTTCATCAGGGTCATCAACTATAAGCATCTCATGATTGGAGATCCTTTGGTAACCCAAATTATGGTTCAATCCTTCAAAAAATGCTTTGAGTCTTTGATTTGGACTCATTTGGGCTCAGATTGAGTCGATTTTGGTGTCGTTGGGTTTGTGTTTCCGAGACGCTCAGTTTGACTATAAGTTTGCTGAAATCGGAATTCAGATGGTCTCCGATCTAATTTTTGAAGTTTTCAACTTGATTTTGCCTCGAGATTCGTGCTTGATCAAGACTATTTTTGGTGACGTATCAACTAATTAATATGTCATCAAAATCGCTTTGATATTTAGGCTTGAATCTCGATGCAGATTTTTTTGAGGAATTTTTAAAAATAAATTCAAAATCATTCTAACCCCTATTTCAATAAACTTATAAGAGTGGGCTATTGCTCTTCTAAAACATATTAAAACTTTCTTTAAAATAAAAATAATTTTATAAATTTTCCCCTATTCTCTTTTTTGCCATACTTGATCTTAGGGGTGTCAACATTGGATCGACCCGAAATCCGACTAGAAAATTTTGGGTTTGGGTTGACCCGAACTCGAAACGGGTTGGATTCGGGTTCAACAATTCGACCCGTTTCAAAAATCGGGTCAGATTCGGGTTGACACGTTGACCCGAAATTGACATGTTTTTGAACCGAAAACCCGTTTTCTAACTCGGGAACCCAAGATTGACCTGATTTTGACCTGAAAAGCGGAGTTTGACCCGATTTTGGACTCGAAAACTAGTAGGTCATTCGGGTCGGGTTGACCCGGACCCGAAGCGGTTAGGGCTAGGGTCCGGAAAACCGGCCTATTTGCATAAACGGGTCGGGTTCGGATTGACCCGAATAGTGTCGTGTCAGTTTCGGGTTCGACCTGAAGCCAACCCGTGACCCGAAATTGACAACCATACTTGATCTCTTTTCACTCCACAGTAAATTTCAAGCCAACTTGAATTCTAAGCACTAGAATTATTTGATAATGAGAATTGGATTGTTGATAAGCTTCTCAACTTACTGCATGCTGAAACTGTTTAACATATTCTGAAAAATTAAATTAAAAATAAAAGAGAAAATTCTATTCGAAAGTTCAAAGTGATGACAATTTTAAGCTCAAATACTTTGGATTCTATCAGAGATAAAATAATTTGTTACATTTTGAGCAAACTATCTCAGTTTTACATATATAAGGTGCACAATATTGTTGAATTGTTCTACATATGAAAAAATTAAACTGTTTTTTCTACTCCTAGTCATATATGACTCTTTAGTGTTATCTATACTCCATGGTTTTTTGTTGGTCTGAAAGGAACGATTGCAAATACATCAATCTTATTAGGAAAGCGAAAGGTAAAATTTTACATTAAAATAAAGTCTTTATTTGTGGCAGCTTTATTATTACTTTTTAAAGTAGCTTTTAAGTTTGCCCCTCCTCAGAATTAGGCTGTCTTCACCCCTGCTTATAATCAAACTTAATGTCTCGATAAGGCGAACCCAAAGGTACTAAATGTGGTATAATTTTAGCATGAATGAACCCAAATAAGCATAATTAAAAATTTCATGACCTTAATTAGATGGCCATGTGATATTTAAATTTGGCATACTTATATTTGAATTGAACATCTTGATGTGACAAATCCAACAAGCTCAAGATCGCATAAATTCAACATCAATAAGATAATTAAATGCTAAACAAATATTCAAGATAAGTAAATCAATACGGGTTGTCCCATGGAGTATTCTATATTCTCTATATATATGGATATGTAACTTACAAAAATTTATAAATAGGACCTCATTCGCTAGATGAGGGGGTAGGAGCTTAGAGCTGGAACCTAAAATTTAGTTCGAGATGCTCTAAGAATCCCAGAGCACCACTGCCGAACTATTGTGGCCCAACTATAGTCTTCCACCAATGCCTAACTACAATCTTCGAACCACCATTGCGAGACTTCAATCCTTAAACCATCGTAGCTAAATTATGATCTTACAAACACTGTTGTTCGACTATGATCTTTTGTCTACCATTTTCTGTTAACTATAATCCTCTTATTTTCATCATCCACCAACTACGGTCCTTCAAACTACCATGATCCTCCCAACTATCGTCACCAAGTACAATATTTTTGACCATAGTAGCTTGATTACAAACCTTCAGACTACCATCACCCGAATACGATCCATTCGACATTTGTCTCCTAACTAATATCCTTCTAACCTCAATGTCTTACTATAATCCTTCAACCATCTTGCCCAAGTAGTGTTCTCTAAACTCCGTAACCCGTCTACACTTCTTCAATCTCTATCTCCTGATTACGATCTTCCAACCACCTTCACTCAACCACTATCCTTTGAAAACCATATTCGGACCATGGTCCTTTGACCACCATAGCCCGTCTTGATCCTCCGACCACTATCACCCAACAATAATCCATGAACCACCATAGCCCAACTATGGACCATAGATCGGCGCCATCGTTTGACTACGGTCCTTTGACCACGGTTGTTTCACTATGATCCATTGACATGTAATCTTTAGATCATTATTGCATGGCTACTCAAATGTCGACTAACTTCATCACCTACCATCGCTAATAATGATAATAAATGTCATCATTTATAAGATTGATGCAAGTCATTGACATCAGCTCTGACACTTAACTGCAATTATGCTAGATTCCTACCAAGGAACTTTTCCAACCTTAAGCAACTAATGTGTTCTTTACAATGTATTAATGCCTTCCTCCAAAGAATGACTTTACTTGTAATCAAATACAAAAAATAGTGAAAATCATTTTAATTAGGCTAGGCCCCTTAGTTTTGCCCTTTCCGTGTGTTTTTATATAAAAACCATGTTATCTCTTATAATTCTTTCATTATCTCTTATATGAGTGTACTGGATCTTCCTTAAGACCTAAGAT